ATCGATGAGTGTGATGCAATCATTAAAATCAATCCATATAAAAAAAAAAAAACCTGAACCTTGTATGCAGCTAATCAAAAAAATTAAAATCAATCAATCATCTAAAAACCCTAAACCTTACTTACACAACTAAACAAAATAATTAAAATTAATTCAATCATCTAAAAACCCTAAACTTTACCTACACAACTAATCAAAGTAGATTAAAATCAATCAATTATCTAAGAACCCTACAACTTTACGCACACCACTAGTCATAAATAATATAAAATCAACTATCATCTCTTGTGTGAATACAAAATCAAACTAATTATCAAATATATATATATAAATAAAACAAAGAATTAAATATAAATCAAGGATAGTGGATTTTGTACCACAATTATTTTTGAAGATCAAAGGAATCACTCAAAGAATTAATAAAGTCACCCAAAATAAAACCCTAAACATGCTCATACCCAACTTATGCAAAATAATTAAAATCAATCAATCAATCCAAAAACATCTAAACCTTACATACACGTCTAATCAAAATAATTAATAATTAGTCAATCATACTTTAAAAAATTCTAAACCTTACATATCCAACTAATTAAATATAATTACAATCAATTAATTATCTAAAATTCTTAGACCTTACATATACATCTAATCACAACATAATTAAAATTAATCAATCATCTAAAAATTCATTAAACACCCTACATTATACATACTAATCAACATAATTAAAATAATCCAATCATTCTAAAAAATCCCAAACCTTACATACTCAATTAATTAAAATTATATAATCAATTAATCTAAAATCTAAACCTTACATAATACGTCTAATCAACATAATAAATAATCATCGGACTAAAACAATCCCAAACCTTCATACCCAACTAATTAAAATTATTACAATCTATTAATCATCTATAAAACCTAAACCTTACATATACCGTGTAATCAACATAATTAAAATTAATCAATCGATCTAAAACAATCCCAAACCTTTCATACCCAACTAATTAAAATTATTACAATCTATTAATCATCTAAAATCCTAAAATCTACATTATACATCTATCAACATAATTAAAATTAATCAATCGTCAAAAAAATCCCAAACCTTACATACCCAACTAATTAAAATTATTACAATCTATTTAATCATCTAAAATCCTAAACTTACATATACGTCTAATCAACATAATTAAAATTAATCAATCGTCTAAAAAAAATCACAAACCTTTCAAACCCAACTAATTAAAATTATTACAAACTATTAATCATCTAAAAATCCTAAACCTTACATACCCAACTAATTAAAATTATTACAATCTATTAATCATCTAAAAATTCTAAACTTACATATACGTCTTAATCAAACATAATTAAAATTAATCAATCGTCTAAAAAAAATCACAAACCTTTCATACCCAACTAATTAAAATTATTACAAACTATTAATCATCTAAAAATCCTAAACCTTACATATACGTCTAATCAACATAATTAAAATTAATCAATCGACTAAAACAATCCCAAACCTTTCATACCCAACTAATAAAAATTATACAATCTATTAATCATCTAAAAATCCTAAAATCTTACATATACATCTAATCAACATTATTAAAATTAATCAATCGTCTAAAAAATCCCAAACCTTACATACCCAACTAATTAAAATTATTACAATCTATTAAATCATCTAAAATCTTAAATCTTACAAATACGTCTTAATGAACATAATTCAAATAATCAATCACTTAAAAATCCTAAACTTCACATATACATCTAATCAAAGTATTTAAAATTAACAATCATCTAAAAATCTTAAAGTTTACCTACACAACTAATAAACGTAATTAAAATCAATCACTTATCTAAGAACCCTAAACTTTACATATACTGCTAGTCAAAATAATTAAAATTAATCTATCATCTATAAACCCTAAATCTTATATCCACAACTAATCAAAATAATTAAAATTAATCTATCGTCTTTATGTAAAACAAAATCAAACTAACATCAAACAAATAAAAATAAATAAATAAAGAAATAAATAAATGAATTAAACATAAATCAAGGAAAGTGGGTTTTGTACTCACAATATTATTTTGAAGGTCAATAAAATATTTGGAGAACTAAAAGAGCCACCAAAACAAAACCCTTATCTTTTTTTTTTTCTTTCCTCTCCTCCTTTTTCCGCCGTTCCCCTCTCTCTCGGGTGCTTCTCTATTTTGTGAATAATCTCTCTCTCTCTCCCGTAGCCCTGCTGCCTCTGCTTCTCTTTTTTTTTTCCTTAATTTGTTTATAACCTAAACACTTCTTATAAATCCTAATAGTTATAATATTATATAACCTCATAGTTATTATACTATATAATATAAATACAACATAATTATAATATATATAAATATAAATATAAGATAATATATATATATATAACACCTCTTTTCTTTATATAACAAATATAAATATTTAAATATTTAGATTAATTATATATAATTAAATAACACATTAAATTAATTAATCACCACATTAAATTCATTAAGCTCACATTAAATTCTCATGTAACCACACAATTAATAAAACCAAAAATAAAATAAGATAATAATAATCATAATAATAGTAATAATAAATAATGACTTAAGAAAATTAGGGTCGCTACACTTGAAAAATCTAATTATATATTCAATTGTCCTTATTTGAAACAAGATTCAAAATTCAGGATCAAATGTGTCACAATTGAAAAGTCAGGAAGCCCCAAACTATAGGGACTAGTTGTGTAATTTGCCCAAAATAAAATTATAAACAAAAGGAGATAACTTCAATCATACAAATCACAATTTTTTTAATGCTATCTAATCATCATCAATAATTAAAAAAATACAATAATTTATTTTTCAAAAAACATAGTGAGTTAAAAAGATCAATTACACTTTTTTTTTTTGGGTCAAGATACAATCTAATTATCATCAATAATTGGCACATTATGTGACCCTAATGAGTACAATCTATTTTGTTTTTCAAAAAATACAGTGAGTTAAAAATCAAATCACAAATTAAGTGAATTGATAGTTAAAAAAACACAATAAATTTTTTTCAAAAAACGCAGTAAGTTAAAAAAATCAATTACAATTTTTTTTTCAAAATACAATCTAATCATTATCAATAATTGGTACTTTAAAAATCAAATCAGAAAAAAATCAAATCAAATCACAAATATTTTTATGCTATCTAACTACAATAATATTTTTTTCATAAATAATTGTAAAGAAAAATCATTAAAACAGTAAATAAAAGATTACATCACATTAAAAAAAAAGAACCATTGAACAAACTACAATCACATCATATTTTTTCCATAATAAAAAAATAATAAATGAAAAAAAAAACCATTGACTAACTCCAATCACATTAAAAAAAAAAAACATTGAACTAACTGCAATAATATTTTTTTTCTTTATGAATGTTTATATTTATCTAATTTCAATCATATTAAAAATAAAATTAAAATAATAAATAAAAAGATTAAATAATATTAAAAAAAACCATTGAACTAACTACAACAATCATATTAAAAAAAAGAGCCATTGAACAAACTACAATCACATTAAATTACAATCACATTTTTTTCTTTGTGAGTGTTTATATTTATTTAACTTCAATCATATTACAAATAAAATTAAAATAGTACATAAAAAGATTAAATAATATTATAAAAAAACCATTGAACTAACTGCGACAATCATTTAAAAAAAAAGAGCCATTAAACAAATTACAATCAAATTACATTTTTTTCCATAATAAAATAAATAAATAAATAAAAAGAACTATTAAACTAACTACAATCACATTAAACAAAATGAATCATTCAACTAATTATAACCACATTTTTCTCTTTGTGAGGGTTTATATTTATCTAATTTCAATCATATTAAAAAAACAAATTATAATTTTTTATTCGCTAAACAAATCACAAATATTTTTATAAGCTATCTAACTACAATATTAAAACAGTAAACAAAAGGAAAAGTCAAGAAGGAGAAACAAAAAGAGACTTACTGTTTGCATACATGGTCACTGAAGTTGAAAGCGTAGAAGTGAGAAGTCAAGTAGGAAAAAACAAAAAGGAGACTCATTGTTTGCAATAGGTATGTGAAAAGTTAAAAAGAGTGTTCGAATTGGAGAAGTTAAAAAGATTTGGAAGAATTTAATAAGTGTTAAGTTTTTTTTTTTAAAAAAAAAAATCAAAAAAATTAAGAAATTAAAAGATTCAGATATTAGAACTCCCACAAAACTTGTGGGTTAAATATAGATATAAATAAATAGATAGATATAGATATAGATATTTATATTTATTTTTAATTTTTTTAATATACAAATTATTTATTTTGAAAAAGGTATTGTAATAATTATGAGAGAAGTCAAAATACTTATGAGTTGAGAAAAATTAATAAATATTGAAATTAATATTTAAAAAAAAATAAAAAATAAAAAAATTAAGATTGACATTTTAAACTCTCATAGATCTTGAGGGTTTAAAACTCTCTCCTACTTAATATATAATATATAAAAGTGTAGATATAGACGAGTGAGACCACTCAAAGGAGGAATACTAACACCTCTAGGTCATGTTTGTTTGGACGGACTGGATTAGCATTGTCATGACTAATAGTCTTAGTACTACGAATCCGTTGGATTATATATCCTATCTTAACTAGTAGTCAAGTTTAAAATAATTAGTCCGTACTTCAATTGTTTAACCAAATATCGAATTAATAATTTTATTGGACTATTAATCCAATCCCAAGCTCATGTCTACCCAAACAAACATGGCCATAAAGTGATTTAAATCCCACGTGATGAGATGTTTTACTCTTATATATATATTTTTTTAAATTTTTGCCACATTGGTAGTCCATTCGTAATTCCAGATTAATGGATTTAATCATTGTTCCATTCATACTTCCAAATTAGTGGGACGAATCATAGTTCAATGCAGAGAGAAACCCTAGCTCCGTCTTCATCTTCATATTCAACTTCATCAAGCAGTGCCATTCGGGCACCGCCCGAAGACGCTTGGGTGGATGCACACCAAAGACTGCTCCCCCAATGGCAATCTCTTACTCTCTCTCCCCAGGTCTCTCTCTCTCTCTCTCTCTCGTCCCAACCTTCTAGGCTTTCGAATTGTCTTCTTCTTTGTTCCTCCAATATGAACTTTCACAAAAAATTGCTTCTTAATTTCATGACTTAGGGTTTGCTTTTTTTAAAAAAAATTTATTTCGTATATAAATGTGCGGGAAATTTTCCCGGGAATAACTGAATCTAGTATAAGCTGTGAATTGATGCTTATTCTTTAAGCTGAATGAAAGTTGAAGAGACATATGTTAAATTTTCCCAAAGCTTTCACAAAAAAAAAAAAAAAAAAAAAAAAAAAAAAAAAAGAGAAGATCTTTGATTTAAGTAATTGAAATCATAAAAGGAAATCGTAGAATCTATTTTTTTTTAAAGACTATTCATATGAATACATGAGGATTTCCTTATTTTGAATGCATAACAGTTATTTTTTTGGGGGGCTAATTCCCTAAAATTATAGCCTTTGTATATTTGAAATGGGCCATGAGCTTAGAGGGCTAATGCAGTGGCATATACTCTAATATGAGTCATTTGCTCTGGTAATAATAGCATTCACCAACTGAACTTATGAAGCTAGTTTCAGAGACTTTTGGGTGCTGCCATAGTTAGAAGAATTTGCTTGATTTTAGCATTTTTGTTTGCTCTCGTGCTTAAACGTGTATGGTGCTTTTGTCCACAGTCAATCATCCCTATTTCAATATCTAGAGTTAATCAAGCTGACGCACAGCGACTTGACATTGAAATGTCAGCCATGTTGAAAGAACAGTTGGTTAAGGTTTTTTCTTTAATGACGGTATATATGCGTCTTCTGGCTTATTTGTTTGAAGAGATTAATAGTATAGATAATATTGGATTTAATTTCTTCTTCCATTTCTTTGGGAATTATGAACCTGAACTTGATGCTTTCCTTGAGTTTCTTATTTGGAGATTCTCCATTTGGGTTGATAAGCCTACTCCGGGAAATGCTCTCATGAATTTGAGGTACAGAGATGAACGAGCGATCGAACCAAGAGTTAAAGGTAAGAACCTCTTGCCTTGTCTTGTTTACAGTGTTGGTTGATGGGTAATTCTGTGCCTTGGTTTTATATGGCACACACACTTAAAAAGTGAACCATCCCTCTGTTTTCCAAAATCTTATTTTGCATTTTTTGGCATAAATTGAATTTTCATGATTTATGAGGGCTTGCAATCACTTTGGTTCTTATCATTCATCCTTGTTTTACATTTCATCAAATTAGTTTTCACTTTAATGGTAAGGTTCCATGAAACTATAATTTTTGTATCTCAATGTCAACAACTTTTGGCAGCCTGCTACAGTTGAATTTTTTTCCATTGAACCTCATATCAACCCAGACTTGTCTACTTGTATCCTAAGTTGTATGTTGTATATTTTTGTGTGACATGCTCCAGTCAGAACGGGCTTGGAGGGACCTGGACTCACTGTTGCTCAGAAACTTTGGTACTGGTCAATATATCTGGGCCCGTTTACAATCATTTTCTGCTTTCCGTAGATGGGGTGATTCTGAGCAGGTTTTTCATTTTGAATTTCATTCAATCATAATCAAATCTATCTCTCCCCCGGAAAGCAATTATATGTAGACACACTTTATGTATGTATATGGTGAAACAACAAAAAGGATTTGATTCATCTTTCATACTTTCCAGACGTCACTGCCACGCCGAGCTTGGATACTAATACAACGTATAGAAGGAATTTTTAAAGCTGTCTCGTTTGGCAACCTGCTTATATTTCTATACAAGGTATGTTTTTTTAGCACAATTCTTTCATGGTCTTTCAAACACAGCCTGCCAGTAAATACTTAACTATGGCATTACGAATGAGGTGATAGAAATATGTTAGATGGAGAACTCACATTCTATATTGTGTAAAGTTGTGTGTGTGTGAGAGTGGGTGAGCACATTCTACAAGACTGAATGAATGCAAGAGAAACATGATATAATAATGCGAAATTCTGTCATGTTATAGCATTGTTTAAAAGTTTGAAGCACCGATGTGTTATTGAGCGTTGTGGATGGCTGGGTGGTACAGGGCATATTGGCAATGTATCATCTCTGTGTTCTATCTAAAGAACAAAAGGATTATAAAGTATCATTGACCAACATTAAACCTGTAAGTCATGCCTTGGAACAACAAACAGTTGCTTCTATAAGATAAATCTTTCAGAATTATCTTCTTTTAGTAACTTTTTAAGTGATTAGGAGTGAGGTTATCCTTTGATTACATGATAGCTTTAATATTTTTTGGTTTGTGGCTTTGCGCATGTTATATTGATGCAGGTATCAAAATCTTATTGAGAGAGCACTAAAAGCAAGACTTGTCTATGGAGTCCTAATATGAATCGAGCTGTTAGCTTTGAGTACATGAATCGCCAGTTAGTGTGGAATGAATTCTCGGTAATTTTATTATATTTTTTTTGTTTTTGTGCAACTCTATTGACTTCAGCAACTAAATATTAAGAAAATCTCATGGGTTTGAATTTCAGTTTTATAGGTCCTCTTATATTGTAGTTTATGAACACTGTTGAGAAGTTGTTGGCCAATTGACTGAAATTTATAGTCTATTGATTGCATGATGCCTTTTTGAATGGAATGTTCTTCCAATCACAACTTTAGATGTCTCATGTCCAGTTTATGCTTCAGGACCTAAAATTGTGTTTTTTTGGTTTGGTTTCAAAATCTGTTTTCAGATTTATTGTTTTTCGAGTTGTTTTGTCTGAACGCTTTTCATATTTTAGTCAATTTTTTCTTTTTAACTTTTAGATGCACCTAAAAAGTGAAGTACATATGAAGAAAATGTATAAAAAATCACTAAAGACAAAAGACACTGGAATGTGCTGCCCTTTTATAATTTTTTTTGGTTTTCTTTTGTCTTTAGTGAGTTTTTTTCCTTCATATTTTAGTATTTATTTTTTATTTTTATATGAACTTTTTAGATGCATCTAGATTAGGTGCATCTAAAAAGGAAAAAAAAAAAGAAGCGAGACTAAAATATGAAAAAAAGTGAAGACAAAAAATACGAAGAACGAAAACAAATTTTGATAAATCAAACTGAGCAAAATTTTCTGTTATTGACACCACAAAAGTTTTTTCCCCCCTTAATTTTAAAGTATTTTGTGTTGTATTACGCAAAGAAACAATTAATATTAAGATTTCCATTGGTTATAGATATTCAATTATATTCTTGATCATTGTTTCTTTGACAAATATTTGTGTGTACTTGCAGAAGTGCATAGCTCTGTAAAGGTGTTGAATATTATCCATTGTTCATGATGTGTATATATTCTTAAAACTTACTTTGACATGCAGGAAATGTTGTTGCTTCTTCCTCTTATCAATTCATCATTCATTAAAAAATTTCTTCATCCCTTCTCGAAGGATAAATCTTCAAGTTCAGAGGGGGATGATACCACATGCCCCATCTGCCTAGCGAGTCCAACCATTCCATTTCTAGCTCATTCCTGTCAGCACCGGTTCATTTTGTATATTTTTTTATCTTCCATTGATCATTATTACTTCATACTGGCTAATCACTTTTAATTGAAAGCCCAAATGGTTTTGAAATGATTTTAATCCCACAGTATAGGTCAAACCAATCACCGGACTGCTTCATGGGGTCGGCACTTCTAATGCATATCCTGTTTAATTATGCATTCCATTGATACAAATATATGGTAGAACATTTCAAGGATTTTACCAGAATATGCTTCACAATGACTTTGTTTAGAGCCTGTTGCTACTTTATAATATTCAAATATTTTTCTGTGAAATTATAAAAGAAGTGCTGGGAGGGGTAAGACCGGAGAGTGGAGACAAACCTAATCTTTGGCATTATTTACAGTCGTCCTTCTCAAACTCAAGTCAACTTCTTTTCTATGAAATTGTAATGCCTCTTTTTGGAACAATTGCAAGGGCAACCGGGTTAATTTAGAACTGGTTTACTTATTTGCAACCTGGACCAGTTTCAACAATATGATTCAGTCCAGGTTTGAAGACACTTTATCAAAGTGGTGGAAAATAATATATGATTTCATCTTTTCTCGTATTTCACCAGAATTGTGTGTGGTACTGTCAATGTTCATTTATGATGCACCTCCATCTCCTTTTGCCATTATGGTTTGTGGTGAAGGATATATATTGACATATGTTTTAGAATAACGTTTTCAAGTCAGCTTGGTTCCCTGAAAAACTTGTGGTTTCTTTTCTGGCAGCTATTGTTATTACTGCCTTCGAACACGGTGTTCTGCAGCTCCATCATTCAGGTGCTCCAGATGCAATGAGCCAGTTATTGCCATGCAGCGGCATGGTGGCTTAATCAACAGTGACACTCAAAAACAATAATTCCACAGGGTTGGAAATGGGAAACTAGAAGGCAAGAAAACAATTGCATTGTTGTATAATAAATGCCCAAATGTGGCATTACCATTCAATTAAGAAAGCAAGATTCCTTGAAAAGCATTTCTCCCTTTATATACCGTAGCTTTCATTCTTTGGAAACTTTACACAATTGAAAGTTGCAATTTTTTGAATGTATCTCTCTTATTGCTTGTTGGTTCTTTTCTTTCTTATCTAGATTATTTTGGTTCATTTGAAAGTTAAATTTGACCTCCTTTTTGTCCGACTTGAGTGGTTCCTTCTTGCAGGCTGGAGCAAAATGAAATCAGTGCCAAGTACGTGTCTTTGGAGGTCGTTGATGTTGATTGTTAAATGAAATGGTTTGTATCGAATCGCCCTAATATTACCTCTGGTTTGACTTTAAGCATGTTAGGGTGCACCTCCAAAGCATATGATTTGAGTAGCTTCTTTCTCTAATCAAATATCCTTCTCGTCTTTCTTTACAGCAAGGATACTCTCTGTATCCTGGTAAGGATACTCTCTATATCCTGGTAAGAGAGTAATGTGGTTATACCTCCTTGTAAAGATTGTTATATTATTACATTATCATCAAGTTGGTCTGCAACACCCTCAATTTTGTAACTTTGCATGATATTGCCGTGCTTTTAATGATGTAATATGTGTAGCGAATGAAATTTTAATAATTACGGCTTTCACTCTTGCATATCTGTGTAGTGATATGGTTTTGTTTCTGCATGGTTCTCAAATGCAGGAAAATTATTCTCCTAAGAAACAATATCATTTTATTTTGCATAAAGCAATTGAAATTGATGTATCAGCTGCATCGGTCTATATTAAACTTGGCTTTTCACTTCATTCATGACAAAAGAGTTTATTTTCATGAGGAAGAGTTTATTTTGTAATTTATGTTATAGAAGTCATAGCCTTGCATAGGATATAACTTGATGTTTACAAAATAAATATTTTAAGTTACATCTCTTTTTAATAACTTAAACTTCTGCTAGCTTATACTTCAAATTTAAGTGTGTCAAATATAGCAACAAAGAGATGGAAAACATCGTCTTTCAGGGAGCATAATGGTTTTTCTAACTTACACTCGTCATAGTCAATGAACATAAATCAACCACTTCTAGTGTCTATTGAGAGGAAACTCACATTGACCCCTTCTGATTATTTTCATTCTCTCTTCCTCAAATGCACAGCATGTGCTAATTACATATGATCATTACCCACTAATATTACCATTCTTTCTTTTTTTTTTCTTCTCTTTCCTGGTTGAACTTATGGATAGGGAAAGTATGAAAAGTCCATGGAGTCGTATAAATTGAATGTAAATGACAACATTATTGTTTGTGATTAACATGACTGGCAAAATAGGTATAAAATGAATCCTTGTGGAATCTGAAACTATACCGAGTAAGATGTTATGTCATGTTTGTTTGGGCGGACTGGATTAGATTGGATTAGCATTCCCATAACTAATAGTCTTAAGACTATGAATCCTTTAAATTATGTATCATTTCTTATGTTTGGATTGAGTTAGGATTATAAGGATTTCTTATGTTTGGATTGAGTTAGGATTATAAGGAAGACTAATAGTCTAGATTTTGGTTTAGTCATTCAATTTATATCCCATCCCTTTTTTTGGGATTGAATAGTCCATCATATGTGAGATACCATATTCAGATTGTTAGTTGTTTAACCAAATATCAAATTAATAATTTTAGGTCATGTTTGTTTGGGTGGACATGAGTTTGGGATTGGACTAATAGTCCAATAAAATTATTAATCTGATGTTTGGTTAAACAATTGAAGTACGGACTAATTATTTTAAACTTGACTATTAGTTAAGATATGATACATAATCCAACAGATTCGTAATCCTAGGACTATTAGTCATGAGAATGTTAATCCAGTCCGCCCAAACAAACATGGCCTTATTGGATTATTAGTCCAATCCCAAGTTCATATCCATCCAAACAAACATGGCCTTATTGTCTTGACAATTTTTTTATGACTTATTATTGGTCTTAGAAAAAGAAAAAGAAAAAGAAAAAGAAAACAGAGTAAGATTTATCTGTACTTTCCTCATTAAATTCATTAAATACCAAGCAACATTAATTAACAACTTAAAACTCCTAATAACCAAAACTGACTCCAATATAAGGAAAGCCAAGAAAATAAATTCATTGATCAATGTTTTTTTTAATAAATAAAAATAATAATGAATAAAAACACCTGTCTATAAATTCAACTAGATTATCATGTACTAGAAAATATACGAAAGATGTGATATTACTATGAACTGCCAAAAAAATTATGGCATATTTTTAGTAGTTTATAAGTAAAGAGCAAATTAGGTGATTTAGTTAGTAGATATACCGGGAGTGATTGAAATTCCAAAATGTCATAGCAATCTTATTAGGCAACCATAGTGAACATGATTCTGAGGTGAAAACAACATAATACAAAAAATATATGAAACTATTCAGGCGAGGCCAATATCACATTTAAGATATGAAAGACAACAAACAATTGATCAACTCTGTGCCAATGAGAGTGAATTATTAGAAGCCTGATGGCCACATTATGGTTTGTTTCTCTTCTTGTTTTCTTGAAGGACATTTGCTCTCATGCTGTACCTTCCTTTCCTTTTAACAAAATTTCCTTTTTATTGCTTATCAAATTTTAAAAAAATAAAAATCATTTTGTCTTATTTTTTACGGTGGACATGACAATAATAAAGTACCCAAATAAAGAGAAAAGATAATATAAAAATGAAAAAAATAAAAATTCAACACGCATGTGATTTCTTGTTTTAGCCCACAAGGTTATGGACAAAGCCTTTCTAGGAAGTGCACAATTGGGAGAAAAACACACATCACAACAAAATATTTATTTCCTTCAGTACGTCAAGTCATTGAAAAAAGGGTAAAAATTATAGATAGGCGCACAAGAGGAAAAGAAAAGAAAAATAATAGCAAAACATCAGCCACCACAGCCACATGTGGTTTGTAAGAAGTTAAGAGGCTCCTCTTAACTACTGCATCGTGATTCTTTACGAGGACTTCCGAATGATGAACAGAATGAGAGCACAGGCTAGTTCAACCAAAGCACCTAAAGGGCAATGACATAGATTGTGGTATGAAAAGGACTTGGTTCCAAAATGTGAAACAGGCATGAGAAACATGGAAAATGATTTGAAGAAAAATTATCTAGTTTATATAGAATAATGAAAATGAAATGAATGTGACAAACCTTGGAACTATAATAGAGAGCATGAACGAAGTATATGGACCTTACAATGGAAACTCAAACGGCAGAATTAAACACGCAGCAAAGAATGTGTATATTGCTACTTATTTTCACATTACATATGATTTGCTTGGTATATTTAGTACTATGTAGTGTAAAGTTTCAATATCATGTGTGACACATCAAAGAAACACAGAGAAGTATGATCGTAGGAGATTTATGAAAAACAAGTTCCCCAATGTCGTGAACATAATTATTGAAACAAAAAAAGAAGCACAAAACATAGGAAATATTATGTGAAGCAGGAAGCAAGATGTGATTATATTCTAATAGGAGCCCCACAAGGAAGTTTTTTGCTAAAACCAGAACAAAGTAGCATGGAAAAACAAAATGTGAACTCCATGCAAAACGAAAAGGGGAAAAAAACATTTACCTATAGTTTACCATATCACTTTCTGGAAATTGTCACAATTTCTGACTCAAGTTCTTGTGAAATGGTTAAAGGTCAAGATTCCCAGCAATTAAGGTTTCAAATGCAATTAAAGTACCTAAGTTATACAACAACTGAGAAAAGACATTCCCAAAATACTTCCCCTGTACCAAAGGTTCTGTTTTCCATAGAAAGGCATTTCCAGGGAATATCTCACCAATGACTATGGTTCCCTGAACTACTGAATAAACTAGCTTGATCCCCGCAATTTAACATCACAATAATCTTGTAAAGATCAGATTAGTCCCATGATTTTGGTTTTGTAATGTAAGAACTTCAAATGTAAACCAAAGCTATTTCCATTTCCTAAAGGGATACATGAATTCCAACAGCTCAAACTATTAAATCTCTAAGTTAACAACACATTCCACCACAGTCTCACCTTCTCACCCGATTCCACCATGACTATTCTTTTGACAGGATAGGATAAATCTTCAGCATCACTATCTGTAAAGATCACTCATCAGTATAAGTAGATTTATTAATTTATTAATTTTTAATTTTTTTTGTAGGGATAGGGAAGAGACTTAGTTGAATGAAGTGGAAGCAAAGGCGATATCGGGCCACATAGAGGAGTTTAAAGTTGGGAGCTTGTAGGGGTGCATTAGTGTATTTTATGTATACAAATGTATAGTAAGAGTATTATCGTAGCTTAGGTATAATGGGGCATGCTACTATACATATTCATTTTGGGATATGCAAGTTATGACATATGTGGTATTGATTATCACAAATATCATGGCTAAATCATTTTCAATCATAACTAAAAAGAAATAATGAGTCATAACCAAACTCCATATAAGGTATAACCAAAGGCCTTTTCAATCATAACTAAAATAATAATTACAATAGGTCATAATCAACATCACAATGAGTTAAAACTGATATCACAATAGATCATAAATAAAAACCACAATTGTCATAACTAGGCATATGGTACACATCTCAAAATGGGATGTGTATTGTAGAATTTCCCAGGTATAATATATGTTACAATGTCTTTGTTACATTACCGCTTAAATTGTAAAAAATAAGCATAGTAAATTCTCATTATAAAAGTAACAATTCATCACCAACAGTATGTCATTAAGATGGTTGTACATCCAGACTGTCATGGGTATGGCATAACATTAACCACAACAGTGTTACGGTATTGGGGCAGCAATTATGGTTGTAACAAGGTTAATGGCATGCATGTTCTTTTTTCTCCCTCTTCTTTTCCTTTCCCTTCTTTTAGTAACCTATTTTTATAACAAAAATTCAATCCTACAATTTTGGTGTGGATTTCCCAATTTAAATCAAGAATAGCACCACTTAATTTGGATTTGAAGGGATTGATCTCAAACCCCATGTTCAAAACCAACCCCCAAATCCTCAAAGCAAATGCACCCTAAGATAATTAAGAATTAAGTGCATTCTTTTCAAACATCAATCAATAATCCAATTGCTAAAAAGCCAATCTCCCATTCTACAAAAGATCAATCCAAACAGCAGAATACAATATAAAGATAGAGCTTGGTAATTGCAGGTCAAGGCGACCTTGGAAAATCAACATACAGACATAAATCTATACACAGCTGAGAACAGAAACGACCACACCAAATTAAACACATCATATTCATAAACATAAAAAGAAGACATATATTCAAATTTGAAAGAGAACATAAAAGAGTAGCATTTTGGCTTATTGGATCACAATATGTAGCAGTGTTGATATATGTAGAGAGAGAGAGAGAGAGAGAGAGACAGAGAGGTTAACAGATGAAGATAAAGTAGCACTTGTTTAATAGCCCACACTTACAAGAACAAATTCCCTTAAATCCGGAAAATCAAATCAATACCTCCCTTTTTTCTCAGACCACCTCCTTGGCCACAAGAGGAGCTTTGACAGGATCATCAACAGCAGGATCCGACTTGAGTGGTCCCGATCTTCTTAGGGTTGACATCATCGTCATCGTCATCATCATCATCATCGAATTCACCATCAGAATCACGGAAATCGAATCGGTTAGGGGCAAAGAGAGACCAAATCAAGTAAAGAGTGGCGGCGGTGAGAGCGCCGCAACCGACGCCGAAGAGGAGAGAGCCGACTACGCTAAGAATATCCTTGGTGCGATCGCGAAAGGAAGAGGAGTAAAGTCCGAAAGGGAGGGGACGATTGTCGTCGTGTTCTTCAACATCATCGACGGTGGCGCGATCGACGATGACGGTAGGGTAGGAGGAGACGAAGGTGGTAGGTTTGGGGTGGATCTCGCGAATTTCGGTGAAGAAGACGGTGATGGAGGGGTTTTGGGGGGAGAAATTAGGGTTTTGATCGAGGGAGTCAGAGGAAGAGGAGGAGGAGGAGGCGGAGAAGAAGATTAGGGTTTTGCAGGGGTGGAAGTGGCGGCCGGGTCTGGCGGTGGCGGAGAGGGCGAGAAGGCCGAGGAGGATTGACAATTGGAGGAGGAGACGATGGTGGCTCGATGTCGCCATTGATGAACAAATATGTGTGAGGCAGAGAGAGAGAGAGAGAGATTGTATGGGAAGAAGAATTGACTTGGTGTGGAACAATGACGGACTCAAACGCTATTTTGTTTTGCAAAAAATAATATTAATATGGAGTCCGATCCGGTGTTCGGCTTTTGCACCAACTGGACCGTACGATTGGATCCGGTGGATCCAACACTGGACTCATCTCAATCACTCCGTGCGTATTTCATTTTGGCGTATTTTACGGTTAAAAGCTAATTTTTTATTTTTATTTTTTTAATATATATTTAAAAAAACAAAAAAACTAAGCCTGCGTTTGGTTGTGTTTTGTAAATGTGATTTGAGAGTATGAATTGTATTTTGAGTTTATGGGTTGTAGAATTATGATTTGAGTGTAGAAAATTTGTTTGATTATGATTTTTAAATAGAGTTTTGAATTGTGTTTTGAAGATGTATTTTGAATTATGTTTTGGAAGTTTGATGTGACATGTGAAAGGCGAAAATTTGTTTGGTGATGTGTTTTGAAAGTAATTTTCAAAACTTAATTCAATCAATAATTTATCATCAAACATACAACTCATATATCGATATCGATATCGATATCTATATTTTTTATCAACAATAATAACCAAACTATTTTTAAAATACTGAAATTAAACATTGATTTTTTTTGTCAATTATTTTTTTTTAGTAATTTTTTTGAAAAATTGTGATTTCGAAATAATTTTTTCATTTTAAAATAAACCGATGTCAATTTTTTCTGCCAATTAATTTTTCTATCAATTCATTTATAAAATACATTTTTAATTTTTTTCTAACATTTTGTTAAAGTTAACAACTTTTAAAAATACATATTAATAAATAAGGGATAAATATACTAACTTTCATATTTTAAAATACAAATCATAATATAAATCTTACAAAATATTATCAATTTATTTTTCATTTATTACATTTTTTATAATTTAGTACAGATGTGTAACAGAAATGCACTCTATTATTGTCCACGAAGAGCTCATATAATTGTAGGAATTGACATGTGAAATGACCATTATGCCCCTCTGAACTTAAATGAGAAGTGATGATATAAAACAAAATACAAAGGGTAAGATCGTAATTTCACTTACTTAATATATACTCCCTATTATATAATAGCTGTGTTCTAGCTGTGTTCTAACACTGATGGAAAGAAAAAGCAGAGGACGCATGTGATATTGATTTGAAAAAAGTAATAATATTATAGTTAACAAATAAAAAGTAAAAAAAAAATAAAAATTCCTACAATTATATGAACCTGACCCTTCTGAACCTGACCCTTCCTATTAAATCTGAATCTCCTTCTATTTACCGCACCAACTTCACCTTCTCGGAAGCACCTTCTCCAGTTACATCACAGAATTAAATTAGACAAATAGAAGATATCCACCCTCTGGTTAGGTCCTCATTCTCCACTTCTATAATTTACAGGTGAGATTTTGATGTCAGTTCATCTTTATATTTGGTTCAAACATGAGCTTCAGAAATTCAGACATGAGCTTCAGAAATTAGCTTCACTGAAGGGGGAGAGGAGGACGACCGGCCGGTCATCCCGTGGGACTTCCGCCCAGTCATCCCGGCCCAGTCACTTTTCATTGCTGTTCCATTTTCATAAATCTGTTCCATTTTCATTTGTTATATTTTCTGATATCTGTTTTAAATTTTTTGCACTATCATTTATTTTTCTAATTATCAGTTTCTAAGTTTTAATAAACTCTATGAATCAAACCCCAATGACAAATATTATTCCTTATGATTTTTTTTTTTATTCAAATCTGTTTCTTTGGAATCTGCCTAATTAAATTTTGTCACCAAATTTTTTTATATTTATTTTTTTCATAAAAATAAGTTTGTATACATAAAAAGATACTAATGTTTGATATATTTTTCATTCATTTTTCTTACCTCTCGTATATTTTAATATACATTTTTCTTTCACTTTTACAGTCATCATGCCAAGAACAATCATGCCAAGAACAAAACGAACCAGACCCGAAGTTGGTGAATCGTCAAACCCTGTACCACCACCACAGCAACAAGATGATGGCTATCCAACTAATGATTTTGCAACATATCATTATGAACAAGCCTATGAACATTTCATTCGTCGACCAATTGTTACGGGGAGAATCTAACTCTCTATATCAAAAACAGAGAACAAGTTTGGGGATGAATTCTCAATTAATATAAAGAACATCAGTAATTTTTTCGACATCATAACTAATTTTTTGATTTTTTTTTCCCCCTTCATTTTGTTGTTTGACTAGAATGGCCAATGTATGTTTTTGTTTATTAATATAATTGTTTCCCATGTTTTCAAAAAA